GAAAATCCCCCCCCCCCCCTACACTCTACAGACAACAGTACTTTTACTTTTACTTTGCACTTCAAGTATTTTTTAAGGATACTTTGTACTTTTTACTTAAGTACGTTTTGCCTCCAGTATTTTTTACTCTTACTCAAGTCGTTTTATTGTTAATTACTTCTACTTTTACTCGAGTACAAATTCAAAGTAATTTAGGCACCACTGCAGTCGAGAAACAGTTCGTGCATATTATATTTTCCCGAGGAATATCAAACCATCCACCACCTGCAATATACATCCCAGGGATTGATTGATTACAAAAATTCAAAAACAAATATATTTATTAATTTAACACTATTGAGAAATACATTGAAAGTAAGCAAAATATTCATAAAATTCTGTTATTACTACCTATCCGTTTACCACAGAAGACACATTGGTTCTTTAAACTAGCTAAAACATACTTGCAATCTATTCAAATCTGGTATGTAAATTCTAACATACATTTCAAAGATATAATTTCCAAACCACTACATAAAAATAATACAATAATTATGCATTGGGTTACACTGGCGAACATGGTGATTCAACAATTCACAGTACGTTAGTTCTCGCCATTATTTGCTCGTGTGATACATTTAATGATCTTCAGTAATTTATTTCTACACTACAAATTCCGCAAGAAGTGTTCATACATGCAATAATGTACTTAGGACATATACAATTTCACAAAGAATGAATAGAATCGTTTTGTTGGATGTGATTTCGATTGTTATGACCATGTCTTATTTCCGTGGACATAACTTACAGGATACGTTTATGCACATTCCATACAGATACGTTCAGTTTCATTACGAAGTCGAAATTTCTCTCCAGCCATTGGTTTCTTGCAATTATCACATGTGAAACATTGGCGATGATAATGCTCATTATCATACACAATATATCTTTCCTGGCCTTCAATTGACTTCAAACAACCAGCGCAGGTCTTGGCGTGATTTGATAAATAACAATCGTGGCATACTCGTTCGTCCTCCATTCGACAGAAAGCTTTCCCAGCTAACGGTTTTCCACACTCAGCACATACAAAGCAATCACTGTGGAATGAATTGCCTTCGTATGTTACAGAGGTAGTCTTGATCACTTCATCACATTTGAAGCAAACCTAAATTTAATATAAAAAGGAATGTTATTGAAATATTATGACTATATATAAGCCGTTGTTGAGCTAGATCCAGGCCTGAGGGGGGGGGGGGGGGGGGGGGGGGGGGGGGGGGGGGGTCACCCAAATGAAAGCCTTTGAATGATTATTACTGTATCTGGGTCAAAGCTGTAACCCCAATATTTGAATTACGATATGCTATATAAATTAAGAATATATTGCATGGAATTTAAGGCAAAGTTTAAAGAACTATGATTTCAAGCTACAAAAGGTGGGCATATGTTGGGAACCTAATTCACCCCCCCCCCCCCCAATATTTCGCGAAGTGTCTGCCAAGTGCTGCCTTGGATGGTGTATACAGTAGAACGTATGAATCGTAGTCGACGACATGCATGTGGAAACGCTACTGGGATATTAAAACGATGGACGAGGTTTACTAGTGCTGTGTGAAAAGACAGCTTGCTAGCTAGCCTTACCAAGGAAGCACATACAAAGTGCTAAGTTTAATAATACGCACAAGTGTAATACGTACCTTAGCAACAAATTTATTAAAGCATGGCTGACAGTAACGCTTGTCTTCTTTGTTAACGAACTGCTCTGAACCAATAGGATCATTACATCGAGAGCACGTGAAACAGCCTTCGTGATAGGTCGCATTTTGATATCCAACTTTCTTCTCACCAGGTTGAAGCTCCTTCTTACACTCAGCACAATTCTTCGACGGGTTAATTCCTCGACATTTATGGCAAACCAGATCTTCTCCTTGAAATGTGAACCCTTCATTTAACTGAAAGGTAAATGGAAATATATGTGGTTAATACCGAGAATGTTGAGGACTTAATGCATATGGACTACAAGTCCATATGCATTAAGGAAATGCTGTTAACTGGTATAGTATTTATACTGCAATATAATTGTACAAGTGATCCCTGTGTGTCAGTAGCACTACCAGGTTGCGGAGGATCTTCCAAATTCATACAAACATATTTTAAAAATGCACTGTGCACCGTATATCACACAATACATGGTATACTCACCAATGGTTTGCTACAAGAAGAGCAAACAAAACAATTCTCATGCCAGTGACGATCACGAACAATGATATCCTTAGATCCAGGTCCAATAGATTGCCCACATTCATCACAAACACTGGCCACTCCCTTGTTATAACACTGCGTACAGCATGGCCTGCCTTCAACTGACACAAACTTCTCTCGCTTTAAGGGCTTTTCACAATTCACACACGTGAAGTGATCTTCATGCCAGTCCTTGTCCATTGCATGGGAGTACTCAGTGACGAAAATCAGCTGAAATGGTCAGGAATAAAATATTAGGTAAGATACTGTCTTTAACAGGTGTCAACATTAAGCCAGTACAACTGATTCATAGTAGAGTACGCCCTCTTTTAAGCGTTCTCTTATAGGCTATAGCTATGCTATAACAAGCCACGTACTGCAGTTATCATTAAATTGAACAACTTCAGACCTTCCTGAATTTATAATTCGCACTCACTGCTTGTTAGAAATGGTAACGGTGAACAGTTGCTTCAATTATCTAATCCCTAGAGTGCTAGAAAATGAACCAGTTAATTGTACTGCACTGTACTGTACAATTGTACACTGATTTTGGTTTACTGAAGACAAGTACATGACTAGCATGCGTTATTATCCACAACATAAGGAGATTCGTGAATGTGGCCCATATACTTTATATATATACTAACTTCATCGCAGCCACTGCAGCGATGGCCATCAAGTTCTGCATAATGACGTCCACAGTACACATTACCATTACTGAAGAAATGAATCATATCAACAAGAAGTTCCTTGCATTTATGACAGCAGAAACATTGTGGATGCCAGGCAACAGACGATCCAGCACTTTCAGCAAACACGGCCATTGACCCATCTCCTATCTCATTCTGACATTCATTACAATCACGTTCATGGCTAATGCTTGGATTTACAACACCTAAAAAGAGGAAGTAGAAAGTGCTTGCTTTAATTGTAGTTATTTTTGTGTACATTATCTGCCGAGTATCTACGAGAAAATCTATTACAAATTCACCAATTCTTTCCCAATGGTTAATCAATAACCGATAAATCAGGTTCAAGGGTAACAACTACTGTATAAGTTCTTTTTGTCTATATTTCGCTTACTGTATCTCTCTTCACACACCGTACTACAATTTTCAGACTGTATTAACTTTCAACGCTAGATTAGCCGTTTGTTCCGTTGTCTATCACCAACTAGAGTTACAATAATCGATTTCAACTGGACAGGATACTATTCAATTTCGTGAAGGTTAGCTTTCTCGAGCTTTAATTCTTACATTCATTCATCAAATAAATAAACTGGACAAAGTTGGTGGCACGGCTATCCAACGTGCATCCTACCAGTGCTCCCACTAACCTAGCTCACAGAAGGTTCAATATTTTAATACATTTTATGTCAAGTCCAGATCATTGACATTGCTCCATCACTCTTTTGCAATGCAATTTAGCACTCTTCGTTCTTAATACACAATAATCTGATAGTGTTAATCTATCTAGACTCAATGTAGTTCGCATTTACAGTATATGTCTTGAGATATTAGTCTACAGTATAACTATAGCTGTACTAGTCCCACTAACCTCGACCCAACGACTCGTTGATGGCTGTCTCAACTGCGGAGTCAAAATACTCTTTCTGATCAGCTGGTAGAAATTTCGTGTAATTGGCTGAGAAATCATGCAAAGGAAGTTGAAATGTGAGCTGTTGGGCACGATACGTAAGACCGTCGGAGCCAAGTCTTGGAACTTTGGATGTTGGCAGAAACATCATGTACTGTTCAACCTTAAATTAAGAATGCAATTCACATTAAAAAACACTATCACTTCGTAAACACAATCCAATACGATAATTTGAAATCGAAACTTCCTTAACTGCAAGATAATTTATGATTATGTTGCAAAACATACGTTCAGTAAAATGCATTTTAGCTGCTTACTACTCGGTTCGTTATTGCCGTATTCTAGCAGGCTATAGTCCTTAGGCCTCTTGTACGTGATCCTGTTAAGTCCGCAAACTTTCAAAGGGAGCTAGCCAGCAACCGGCTGTGCACGTGGTATCGTCACGAGAAAGCTAAACGCACGTGTACGATAGATAACGAGTGCTCTTCCAAGTGTTTGGGGAAGTGAAGGTGATTTGCAACTTTCAGATCAATACCTGCGTTGCGACAGTAAGCGTTAAGGTAAAGTGTGATTTAGCTTCCGATGGGTGGCGGTCTGAAATTGTCATCGTGCTGAAATTGTATTGAGCTTAAAATATTGTACAAATTCACAGAAAATTATCTAAATCAAACTCCATGCAACATGCAAGTAGTAACGACTAAAATGTTGAGGGCAGAAGCTGATTATAGATAGAAAAGGATTTTTTTTTATATTTTTTACTGAACATGATCATTTGAAAGTTATTAGTCAAGCAGCCTACTATAGTCTTAGTCACTTGGAATAAAGGCAGATGTAAATCATGTAATAGAGGTATATTATAGTCATTGAGTCATGAAAATACCTCGTTTACAAGTGGTATATTTCATAAACATGCAGACATTAACCAATACTTTTTTGTGTATTTGAAAGTATTTTCATTTTAATTAAAAAAAAAATATTGTTAATTTAAATTTTGTGACCGTGAGAGGCTATTGTTTGTGTCATTAGGCCATGCGATCCTACCTCAAGATCAGACAAACCACGTGGTACCCAAGCATATCCTTTATCTCTAGCTTCATCAATTGCTGATAATGTATCTTCTTCTACACACATTCTGTCTATTGGGTTATTGTACGGATTATACATGGCAGCATGATGATATGTGTCACAGTTGCAGGATGAACAATTCCGTCTAAACATAACAAAATAGATTATGGACAAATCAGTGAAAAGGAAGCTGTAGAACGCTACATGGCATGCACAAATCATCAGAAAACTGTAGATGAGTCAGATGATTCAACCACCTGAAAATACAAGTTAAACGTCGACAATTCGACGCTCGAAACATTGAAATTTTACTTGTATTGTTTAGGTAGTTGAATCGCTACCCATCTACAGTTTTCTGGTTTTTTAGTCACTAGCTAATAGAGAGGTGTGCATCGGATCGGATTGGACATTTATAATCCGACAATTGGCTAATGTATAAAATCCAATCTGATCCGAAGTTGTCTAATCCAAATCCGAGTTTTGATAAAGAATTCCGATCCGAAGAATCCTTTAATAAAATAAATTTCTCATTCAAGTGGAAATATTTAATTAACCAAATAAATATAAAAGCAAGAAATACATGTCAAGAAGCTGACAAAGTGACGTCCAATTGAAGTATCAAACGAATAATGCAGCGACAACCGCCTTGTCATGGATAATTAATTCATTTTATTTCGATCCAAATAATTAATTCGATTTAATCCGATCCAAATGGCTTTTAGCCAGGGTCCTGAAAGAGGGCGTCCAATTTTGGTATAACGAACATCTACAATAAAGAGCGGGGGGGTTGAGAAAACGTTCCTCAGGAAAACCTTTGAAGTTTATGTTACTTCATGTCAGTATCTGTTCCAAGCTCGTTCGAAATTTTTCAAACACACTTAGCCTTGTGAGTTTATGACGCTATGCTTCTTTACTTAATTACGACATTTCCATTCAGCCAGGTCAGGCCAGGTACACCATCAAATTGATCAAAATGTCAAATGTATAATAATAATGAGAATTGAAGCTATTTCGTTTCAAATATATTAATATACTTAGTCTTAGGGAAATAATTGAAAATACTTTCCCTTTAACCCCAGAATTTGGGCGTTTGAAGTTAAAATTTTGTGAAAGTTATAACAACTTATTGGTCACACCCGATGACTAATTTTTCTGTTGCGATAACCTGCTACCTGGTGGTGACAACAGTAAAATAGGGTGTGACTAGCGCACAACTGACTAATCTTCTAAGTCGTATTTGTAATAAAATCTGTAATATTACCTCCATGGATGATGTTTGAAGCCAGTAGGACAGTTTGTACAGTGTAAACAGTCATCTCCAGAAGATACATCTTCTATATCAGGACTGAACTATAAACAATAAATTTATTTTAGTTTTCTGAGTTTCAGTTAAATCAATAACCACCCTCCCCCCCTGGTTGCCAACCAAAAATGGTGGCGTGAGAAAGGCTAATTGGAATTCCAATAGGAATTGCTATTGTAAATTGGCCCACATTCCATCTAGAACCCTAATTGAAATTGCAATAGGAATTTAAATATTCCTATTGGAATCCATCGAACTTTGGACAGGAAAATTCACTCCAATCAGAAATCGACCCATATTCCAATTAGAATTTAGAATTCTACAGTAGTTAGATTATCCTATATGGGTTATTGTGTCACTTATTTGTGTGTAACAACTTTGATCAATAGGACTTGTGTCACTTGTACCAGCACCTATTTCCTTTTTTGAGCATGTATTAAATTATTGTAACTAGTTCCCAAAAATAACTAACTTTTACAGCACTGCATGGTCATAGGAGAGGCCCACAACTAGTAATCATTCAAGCATTGCAGGTCACAACTATCCACGCTTCCAGATCCACTAGATCCTCTGCCAATAACAGTCCTAATTTCTGGACCTCCCCGCATTTGCGGGAGACTCCCGCATTTTGGAATCATTAACCCATTGAGCCACAATGTGCCCTACTTATTTTTTACTTGTCTAACACCAGGCGATTTTACTCATCAATGGGGAAGCTCTGCAGCTTAATGGGTTAACCACCCATTGAGCCGCAATGCGCCCCAGTGTGCCCTACTTATTTTTTTACTTGTCCGATGCCAGACGATGTTACTTGACAATGGGGAAGCTCTGCAGCTTAATGGGTTAATCATCTCTCTCCCACATGAAGACAATTTGAGGAAATCTACCCCATTTCTTGTGTTTTACCTGCAACACAGTAGTGCTGGGAGTACGTGTTACCAGAAAAAACGAACAAATTACTGACACACATGTCTACTGATATGTGTTGCACAGCTGGGCAAGAGCTAGCACAAAAATATGAGAGTGAAAGAGTCTTAAATAATTATCAATAATTATATTGTTTGTTTACTATGGAATAAATGTGACATATTTTGACAAGCATGTCTATTAGACTAAACCCCCGCTTGTTTAATTTCATGACCATTGGCCACGCCCAATTGAGTAACCACGCCCATTTGATTTTCAAGAGCATCCCCCCACTTCTAAAATTAGCAAATCATTGCTGGTTCATAGTCTCATTATTGTGCTGTATGTAGGAAGTGTTAAAATTTTCGGTAACCATTGAATACCATATTCTAATAAAATACAATACAATGGAAACTCCGAAGAAATTCAAATTCAACATTTCGACTACTGTTGAGTCATCATCAGGAATTATGTAGGCTACTAAAAATTTTGCAAGTTATATATTATACAGGTGTGATATAAGATGATCTTATCTGTCAACAAGTCCTAATTAAAGATAACAAGTTCTTTTGATGCTTTAGTCCCATGGTTTAGTTCAGGTTTCTGTCTGCATGTGGATATGTAAGGCTTCTTTATATAGTAGAAGCGACCAGTTTATAGATTTATCAGTATTGTTAAGAACAATTTGAGGTAGTAGTCCCGGGTTGTTAAAAGGTAAAAACCCTTAAAGGAGAACACTTAAAGTTGAACACTTTTATAATTTTAATCCACTATTAGTTTTACCTTTTAACAGCCCGCGACTACTACCTCAAATTGTTCTTAACAATACTGTAATTATTGATAAATCTATGAACTGGTCGCTTCTACGGAAAATTATAAGTTGAAATAAAAAAAATTGTGCAAGGGATTATATTTTAAAAAATTATCAACACAAGCAAAAAATTTTGAAAAAATATTCGTACAAGTTGAAAAAATCCCCCCATCACTTTTCTAATGGTCCGCCCCATTAAACAACAAAGAACAGTACTAACAGTTCCTAACAAAATACAATACAATGGAAACTCCGAAGAAATTCATATTTTTAATTCAACGTTTCGACTACTGTCGAGTCATCATCAGGAATTATATTAAAGATAACAAGTATGGTGGCCGGTCGTTCTCATAGGAGAAATTATGATAAATTGAATATATTTAAAAAGAAATATAAAAATACATTAAAATAAATATAAAAACAAATTAATAAACTAATAAAATATTTAAATTTTACGTTCTAAATAAAATACAAATAAATGTATTGAAAGTAAAAATATATTTAAAAAGAAATATAAAAATACATTAAAATAAATATCAAAACAAATTAATAAACCTAATAAAATATTTAAAACTTTGAAAGTAAAACAAAAAATAAATTTAAATCTTCAGATCAAAATTAAATTTTAAAATATAGAAATTGAAAAACATTTGTATGGTAACTTTGAAATTCATTTGCGATTTCACTATGAAAGCAATCCGTCGTGCCCTGGCCAGTCGTTCTCATTAGAAAATATTTCACAAAATGAAATGTTGCAAGCGGCCGGTTGTTCTCATAGCCCACGATAATTGTGATAGCG